GTGTATCAAATACCATCCCCTCTTGTCTTCTCAATGTCTGCAGTCCTGCAATCATTCCTCTTCTCTTCAGCATCATCAACTTTTCCCTTTATACTTGATAACTGTCATACCTCACAAACATGTTCTAATATTTCCTGTCTTCAAAACACCATCTTTTGAGCCCCACATCTCCTGCCAGCCCTAATTTTCTTCTTTATTTTCAATTAAATTCCTGGGTAAAGTTTTTCTATTTGCTGACTCACCTCCCATTTTCTATTCAACTCACTCCAATCTGACATTTCTCTGCCCTTCCACTCCTCAATTGAAATGGCTTCTATCAATATCAATAATGACCTACATCTTGCCAAACTCAATGGTTAATTTTTCTCTTATTATTCCATTTATAAGCAGAATTTGATGTAGATTACCCATTCTTTCAAGAAACACATCTCTTGGTTTTCATAACAGACATCACACCTTGTTGCACACACTTGAGTCTTCTCCTAAGAACCGACGTTCTTTTTATTATTTTTTTAGGAAGATTCGCCCTGAGCTAACATCCATTGCCAATCCTCTTTTTTTTTTTTTTTCCCTTGAGGAAGACCAGCCGTGAGCTAACATCTGTGCCAATCTTCCTCTATTTTGTATGTGGGACACCACCACAGCATGGCTAATGAGTGGAGTAGGTCTGCACCCAAGATTGAACCCACAAACCCAGGCTGACGAAGTGGAGCATGGGAAACCTTAACCACTTGGCCATTGAGCCAGCCCTGGCCTTACTTCTTGCTCTTCTTTGTTGGCATTTCCCTGTTTACCAGCCCACTGAATATCTAAAATTTTTATTATTTCAGCTCTTACATTTAGGTCTCTGACCCATTTTGAGTTAAATTTTATAAATAGTGTGAACTGAAGGTCAAACTTCATTTTTTTAGTGTATCAGCATCCAGTAGTTCTAGCACCATTTGTTGAAAAGATTATCTTTTCACCACTGAATTACCTTTGCCAAAAATCAATTGAACACATACGTATACGGGTCTATTCCTGGACTCTGTATTCTGTTCCATTGATTATGTCTATTCTTAGACCAATATTATACCATTTTGATTATTGCAGCTTTATACTAAGTCCTGAAATCAGGTACTGTGCATCTTCCAACATTGTCCTTATTCAAAATTGTTTTGGTTATTCTATGTCCTTTGTATTTCCACATCAATTTCTGAATGCATTTGTGAATTTCTACAAAAGAAAAGGCCCCTGGGAGGTTGATTGACATTCCATTGAATTCATAGATAAATTTTGGCAGAAATAATATTGAGTCTTCCAATTCACTATCAGGTTATACCTTTCTATTTAATTGGGTATTCTTGAATTTCTCTCAGCAATATTTTGTAATCCTTAGCATATAAACCTTGTGCATATTCTGTTAAATTTATCTGTATTTTTGATGCCATTAAGATGGTACTGCTTTTTAATTTCTTTATTGTCTATAAAAATACAATTTATTTTTGTATCTTGTCATTGAGCCCTGCCACCTTGTTGAATTATTAGTTGTAATAGCCATTTTTGTAGATTTTTAAGGATTTTCTACATAAATGATATACAATCATCTGAGAATAATGACAGTTTTACTTCTTCCTTTCCAATCTATATAACTTTTACTTCTTTCTCACACCTTACTTCATTGGTTAGTTAACTCTAGTACAATGTTGAATAGAAGTAGAGAAAGCAGATATCCTTGCCTTGTTCTCAATCTTAGGAAGAAAGCCTTCATTTTCATGATATTAATAGCAGGCTTGTTATAATTGCCATTTATCAGGCTAGGGAAATTTTCTTCTATTCATAGTTTGCCCAGACTTTTTATCATGAATAGCCACACTAAATGTTTTGAAGTATTCCATCCTCTTCTATTTTTCTGGAAGAGTTGGTATAAAATTGGTATTATTCCTTCCTTAAATGTTTGGAAGAATTCAATAGTAAAACCATCTGGTCAGTCTTGGAGTTTCCTTGTAAGGAGTGTGTCTGTGTGTGTGTGTGTGTGTGTGTGTGTGTGTGTGTGTGGTGTGTACGAAAGAAAGAGACAGAGAAATTTTTTAACTAAAGATTAAAATTACTGTGATGGATATAGAGCTATTCAAGTTATCTTTTTCTTCTTGTGTGAGCTTTGGCAGTTGGTGTCTTTCAAGGAATTTGTCCATTTCATCTATGTTTAATGTCATTAAAATGTTCTTAACATCCTTATCCTTTTTTTTTTTTTTAAAGATTTTATTTATTTATTATTTTTCCCCCCAAAGCCCCAGTAGATAGTTGTATGTCATAGCTGCACATCCTTCTAGTTGCTGTATGTGGGACGCGGCCTCAGCATGGCCGGAGAAGTGGTGCGTCGGTGCGCGCCCAGGATCCGAACCCGGGCCGCCAGCAGCGGAGCGCGCGCACTTAACCGCTAAGCCACGGGGCCGGCCCTCCTTATCCTTTTAATGTCTGTAGAATCTGTAGTAATGACACCTCTTTAATTCCTGATATTGGCAATTTGTGTCATCTTTCTTTTTTTCTTGATCTATCTGGCTAGAGAGTTTATTAACTATATTGATCTTTTCAAAGAACCATTTTTTGCTTTTATTTATTTCCTCTGTTCTTCTGTTTTATTCCATTTATTTCTACTCTTTATTATTTCCTTCATTTTGCTTGCTTTTGTTTTATTTTGCTGTTTTTTTCCTAATTTCTTAAGATAGAAGTTTACATTATTGAATTGAGCTCTTTCTTCTTCTCTAATGTAAGCAGTTCTACAAATTTTGATGTATTTTAATTTTTATTTAATTCAAAATATTTTCTGATTTTCCTAGTGATTTCTTCTTTGATCCATGGGTTAATTAGAAGTGTGTTACTTAATCTCCAAATATTTAGAGATTTTTTTCAGATATCTGTTTTTTATTTTTAGTTTAATTTATTGTGGTCAGACAATATACTTTGTATGCTTTTAAGGCTGATGAAATTTGTTTTCTGGCTCAGAACATGGTCTATCTTAGTGAATATTCCATGTGCACTCGTCAAGAGTGTATTCTATTGTTGGGTTGAGTCACCTATAAATGTCAATTAGATTAAGTTGGTTGGTAGTGCTGTTCAAGTTTTCTATACTAATTTTCTGTCTACTTGTTCCATCAATTCCAGAGAGAGGAGTGTTGAAGTCTTGAATTATAATTATTGATTTGAGTATTTCTCCTATAAGGAATAGTATTTTTCACTTTATGTATATTGAAGCTCTGTTTCTTGATACATATATATTTAGTATTGCTATGTCTTCTTGATAAAATTGACCCTTCTGTCAGATTCACTCTTTACTCTTTTTCAGCCTGGACTCTAGCCCAGGAGCCTAAATTTTATAGATTGTACCCTTGCCCTGTTTTTAGATTGATTTTGGCCAATGAGAAACACTAGTTGGACACTGGAGTATGGAAGAAAAGGGGTTTGGGTACTTAATCCTTCCAGCTCCTCCCTGCTCGGTTGCAGGCTGGCAGTGTTTACATTCCTCTACGAAGGCACCATAGTGACCACCAGGTAGGCGGCCGTCTCCTACAGCAATAAGTCTCCTTGGGCTCTGGTAATCCCTCTTTCCCCTTACCACTTAGGCCTAAGGGTGATAATAACTCTCTGATTAGTTCTGGGTGCTTCACCATCACTTTTTGTTTTCTGGTAACCCTGTCCACACCTTTTTAAATGGACCTTTCATTAAGCACCCTCTAATTACCTCTCTTGAGTATGTCATTTGTTAACTGATGGGGATTCTTACTGACATAACATACATTTTAGTACTAGCTTAAATTATTTACATAGAAATTATTTGGTTCTTCGCTTCCTACTCACTGGTTCAACCAAGTTGATCACTCAATATTAGACACTTGAAAAAGGAAAAAAGGTCTATTTGGATGTTTTGATTAGAGGAAGAAGTAATGACTATCTGTTGACTCCTAAACACACTGCCAGGGCCCAAAATTCTCATATCTAGGCACTGCTTCCTAGGGATTGTTGTAGATGACACTATGTATCATGCTACAGACTCCACATAGACCACAAAGGAGCTGCAGTGGTCCCCAGCAAAGCATCAGGTCTCATGGTACATCAGCTGAGCACAACAGACATAGTATCCATCACAACAGCCCTAGGTTGCCGTCAGAATAGAGATCATACTGTTTTTTCCCACCTCATCCCATTTGTCAGAAAATGTGCGGTACTTGGTGTGAACAGAGGAGTTTTAATAGGCTCCCTATGCAGGAATTAAACGCAGGACAAACTATATATTGTGGAGGAATGGGCAATGGCGAATACTTAAATTACAGCAGGGCATTTGAATGAGAAATGCTCATGTTTTTCTTGAATCTGAAGACAGTGATATGCTGAAATGGGTTATCTCTGACAGACTGAAAAGTCTTGAGGAGTAGATCAAAAAAAAAAACTTCAAAAAGATAAAAATGCTGCCAATGGGCTATATCTTTACAAAAGCGTCCAGGTTTAAGCGACGTAAACCTGTCCAGCTGTGTTGCAAAGAAGGGGAGCAACAGTTTGATACAGAAAGCAAAGACCATGTGACCTACTCAGTGTTTCCCTACACCGGATTAGCCTCACTTCTGCACTTGCCTGAATGAACAGGCATCCTCGCTCTCAACAAAAGAGCTGCCAGCACTAGCGCGGGAAGAAGAGGGGACAGCGCGGCGCTGGGGTGAAGGAGACACCCGCTTCAGGCTCACAGGAGCAGAGCTCTCTCCTCAGGCTCCGCCCGAGGACAGCCCTGCGGTCCCCAGGCCTTGCTCACCTCAAGTCTCTGCATCACTTTCCTTTCCCAGTGAGGCCCCGCCTTCCGGCCGAACGCACCAATTAAAGCTACAAAAAAAAAAAAAAGAAAGAAAAAGCGTATCGCCGTACCGAGTCCGTGGCAGGCAGACTCTCGCGAGAATTCGAGAAGCCCCGGCGGTACCCACAGAGACATCGCGAGCGGACCTCTGGGGGCGGGCTGTGCCGTGGCCCCGCCCTTCCTGAGCGCGGGCGCGCCGTGGCGGGAATTTTGCCTGGTTCGGATTCAGACCCCACGGACTCCCGGGATGTGGTCGGAACCGCCCGGGGCTGATCTCCCGGAGTGAAAGTGTGAGCAGGTAGGACTTGCACCAAACAAGGGGCGTCCGGTGCACAGGACACCGGCTTCCCTCGCCGGGTGCCCGTCCGCGCCGGCCGCTACCTTGTGCGGTGCTGGCGGCACTTGCACCCCGGCCGGAAGGGGTGGGGTGGGCGCCAGGCCCTCCTGAACCCCATCCGGAGTCTGCAAGGGAGCTTTTCCTAGACCTTGCCGGGAAACTGGCTCAGTGAGGGCGCGGGTCGAGGCGGGCTCGGGAGTTGAAGCTGGACCTGACTTGAGAACATTTTCTTCCTCTTCACCCTGTCCCGCCCTTAAAGGTCCCACCTAGAGGGGACCGGCCACAGCCGGTCGGGGGTGCGTACTAGGTTATGACAGCCTTGATCTCAGGGAGTCGGTAGGGGAGAGTTGTTGAGGTTTTGGCTTCTTGGTTTTTTTCTTTGTGCTGGGAGGACGTTTGGGGAACTTTATGAGGTCACCCCCAGTCTCTCGGCCCGCCCGACTTCCAGGAATCTCATCATAACTTCTTTGGAGCCCTTTAACGATAGTTCTAATGTTTCAGGACATGAAATAAACAATGGATGACGGTTCTGTCGCGTCGACGTTCCTGACTGACAGCTTGGAATTGGAGCTGGGGACCGAATGGTGCAAACCTCCTTGCTTTTCTTGTGCTTTTGACGACAGAGGAGGAGGAAAACATTTTTCTGGCGAGTCCTACCTTTCTAGCGGAGCCCTTAAACGGTAGGTAAAAACTCCTTTGTTTTTCCCTCATCAGATTTTTCATCAGTTTAAGAATGCTGTTTAATTTATGATTTCAGTCAGTTAAATTTTGATGTTCAAGCCATATGTTTGTAAATCGGCTTAGTATATCACACGGATGGAGGCTATTAGTTCTGTTGTTGGTTTCCTGGTTAGGACATACCTAAAAGATTTTTGGATATGAAGGAGAACTTCCTTGCTACCTGATGTTTTCTTACCTCCTTGCTACTTCAGTTTTGGGGGAGGGAGCTCGGCCCTAATTTCCCTTTTACTTACAGTGAATTCTGAACTACCTGGGCTTTTTGAAATGATATTTCCTTCTAAAACATGAAATAATGTTCTGGAGCTTCCCAGTAATCCTTAAGTAAGACATACACATTTTTTGTTGCCCAAGTTTTTTCTAATCTGTGTATCTACACATACAGAAGTCTTACAGACTTTTTTTTTTTTAACTTTCTAATAAATACACCAGATTGTATAAGTTCATAGGAATGTTACTCTTCAAAGTTTTTGCCTTGGGCAGGTGTACACATATTGCAGTAAAACTGCTGTTATTGAAATATTTTGGGAATACTTGCTGAAACAATTTCAGTCATAAAGGAAACCATTTTTGTTGATTTTATAGTTGTACCTTGTTTGAGACCTTAAAAGGGCTTACTCAGTTTGATTATGTTATTCTTCAGACATGGCTCAGAATAACTTTTAGCTGTTTTAAAAATAAATGTCCCCTCAAAGGATGAAATTCTACAACTGAAGACCACTATTGAAGACAGGCAAAAGTATGTTCCCAGACTCCTTTTCGTGTTTTTCCTTTAAGTTACATTGCTCTTTAGTTATACTTCTTTTAATCACTATATAGGATTGAATTTTTAATACAGTCTAGCTGTAGTATTCCTGAATATGTAAGGTACCAATGCATATCCTGACTTTATAACATCATTGTTGGCATGTCATGTATAATATGGATTCATATAATCTCAGAAAAGACACGCTATATTATGGGATTTAGCACTCTTTTTATGAGACTAAATCAGAGTTTGAATTTCAGATTGATTTTGAATCTTGATCCTTTACCAACTAATTTTGAAGAGGATACAGTGGAAATATTTGGCATTCAGTGGGTTACTGAAACAGCATTAGTGAATTCATCTAGAGTGCTCTTTCATTTATTCAGGTATGTTTTTTTTTTTTTTAACTCCATGAGTGTAGATGCTGTTCAGTTACATTGCTGAATGGTTTCTAATACTGATATTACGAAAGTACCAGTAGAGTTGTGCATGTTGCTCTCTTGATTATCTTATCAGTAACAGCAATCAAGCAGTAATGTTTGATGGAGTAATGGTTTTTATGTTTTTGTTTTGTTTTTTTTTTTTGCTGGAAAAGATTTGCTCTGAGCTAACATCTATTGCCAATCTTCCTCTCTTTCTCTCTCTCTTGTTTTTTTGCTCCCCCAAAGCCGCAGTACATAGTTGTATATTTTAGTTGTTAGTTCTTCTATGTGAGCTGCCACCACTGACAGCTGGCAACTGACAAATGAGTGGTGTGGTTCCGTGCCGAGAAACCGAACCCAGACTGTGGAAGTGGAGTGCGCTGGACTTTAACCACTAGGCCATCAGGGCTGGCGTGATGGAGTAATTGTTTTAATGAGCTATTTTTTAGTGACTCTTTATTCTTTTTCAGAATCTTTGTTCCTCTGTATTTGACATCATGTATTAAAGACAAATATTTAAGGCTTCAAACTATATTATAATTTTGGAAGAAAACTAAAATACTTTTGTTGCTTAATAGCCATAGTCTTTCAATGATTTTTAGCAAATGAACTCAGACTTTCCGAATATATCTTTCAGACTAATAGAAATATGATTAATTAATATGATTAATTTGGACTTTAAAACAATTTTAATGAAAATTTTCAAACATACACAAATGTAGAGAGAATAGTATAACAAACCTCCACATACCCTCCCTCAGTTACAATAATCGTCAGGGTTTTATCACATTTTCTTCATCTGCCCTCTTCCCTCTTTTTGGTTTAAGTATCTTTAAGCAAATTCCAGGCATCATGTCATCTCACCCTTAAGTATTTCAGTATGCATTTCTTAAAAACAGGGAACTTTTTTTTAAACATAAACGCTATCTCATTACCACAGTTAACAAAATTGAAATAATTCATTATCATTTAAAACTCATTCCATATTCAGCTTCAGATGATTTTGAAATGGAGTCAGTTATTGAAGGCAAATTATTATCCAAAAATACATTAAGAATGTGTATATGGTACACTTAAATGAGAATGGAATAGTGAAGGGATTTCTCCTTCCACCCTTGTTCCATGAGACCTTGTGAAAAGACATCACTGTGTCTGTGCCATGTTATGTGTTTTATTGGGAGAATAGGCTGAGTGAGTGATTCTTTGTAATCCTGAACATTACAAAATGAGTTGAATCTTTATCCAGGACATTGGTCATGGATATGGGTCAATCTTGAAAGAGTTGAAAGACAATTAGGAAGAATGGCAAGAGAAGATTACTTTCAGGAATTAAGGTGGAACGTCATAAATCTAGCTTTTCCTGATAACTCTAGTCTACATTATTCTCTTTCTTTTCTGAACTCCTATTGTATTACTATATGATACAGTTTAACACTTCATTATGTAACTGTTAACTTCAGATGTTTTATATGAGTATTTTAAGCATCTTGAATATATAAACAGTATCTCATTGATAGTGAAATCTATGATAGTTGATATAATTTCTGAGATATATGCAACTTTTAATAGATCATTTTTGAAAGGTCAGTCAAAGGCACGTTTTATCTTCTCTCAGTGTTCACTACCTGAAGCTGACCGTGTAATAAGCATTCACAAAGTATTAAATAAACATCATTCACAAATGGGAGGCATTGAAGCTATGTAATAGATTTGGAAACATTATCTGTGGAATTTTTACAAGCTTTAAACTATTCTAAAATTAACTCTCATCTTACCTTTTTTAAATTAGGCAACAACTATACAACTTGGAAACCTTATTACAGGCCAGCTGTGATTTTGGTAAGTTTTAAGGGTGTTTAATGGCAAAAAGCAATGGTGCTCCATTACAGTGAATTGCACATGCGGTCTATGGTGCATAATTGGGATATCCTAATAACATGGAGGAAGCATTAGGTCAGAAGTTCAGGATACAGCATATTTAATGTTCATAAAAAGTATGACACTTAAATTTTGTTGTAGCTGAGCTTTATAGTATTTTTCCAAACTGGAGGTAAAATTGATTTAAAGCTAAACATCTCTGAAGTGAATTAGTAACTTGCTTTGTGGGGGGGGAGTGGGATGGAGAACTTAGAAAGTGCGAGCTTCATGCTATCTTCTTGCTCTTCTTTTCTGCTTTCTGTTTTTGTTTGTTTTTGACATTTAATGGACTACTGGTTTTTTGATATTGGTGAAGTTAAGATAGTGAAGGGAATTGCAGGGTAGTGTGTTTTAGTGCAAGCCAGCTGCTTCTCCTTTCCAGCAGTGTTGGTGCAGTGTAGTATTTAGAATCATGGCCCTGTGGTCAGCCTGGGTTCCAATCCTAGCCTATTGTGGGTCTCACACCAGGTAATTGTTCCCACCTCATTGAGGTCTTGTGAGAATGAAATGAGGTAATGCAGGTTAACTGCTTAGCCTGGTATCTGTTGTTAGTGATACCCAGCAACTAAAGATCATCTGAAACACCTTTGGTCAAAGAAAGGTTTAGTAGCTTACCAAAGCAAGGGGGAAATACACATCATGAGGAACAGATGGGGCGTCTCAGTGAGAGGGAGTAGGGAGGGGCTTGTGATAGGGTTTGGGCTTGTGCTGGCTGATTTGGGTTGTTTAAGGGGGATATGACTTTATTCTGGATTGGATGCTGTTAAGCAGGTATGTGTTGATGATTGAGTATGTTAATTTTTATCTAGGAGGTAGGACAAAAAGGGAGGTTAGGGAGCGTTCTAATTAGTAAAGAAGGAATAGTCATGTTAGCTGAAAGGGGAGGAGGTTCTGTTTTGGTATTTTGTTTGATTTTGTGTGATTGCATAGTGCCTTGTTTCTGTGTTGAGACATGATTACAGACAGGTTTTGTTTTTGTCTTGTTTCACCATTATCACGGAGTGGCCCTGCCTGATTATTTTTGATATTCTATGGAAACTGTTTAATTTCAGTAGAGAACATCACAGCCCAGCTGTTAGCTACCAGCTGTCAGGGCTGTTTTATTTGTTTTGTTTTCTCAGTATGTGCTCAGTGAATGTTGAGTATTGTCTCATTATCACCTGAGTCCCTGCTTCATACCAGGTACTGTGTAAGGCACTAATGCATCAGAGTAGAAAAATATGCTGCTGAAGAGCTTGCAGTGAGTGGGACAGATAGACATGTGAGCATAGGTCAGCATGGTAAATGGAAAAGTGTAGTGACAGAGGCACAGACAGGCTGCTATGCGAGCCAAGGGCTTCATCTGTTTATTTGTCCATCACAGAGTGATGCCAGATCTGAGTCTTCAAGGATGAAGAGAAATTAGCTAGCCAAAAGATTTTGGGAAAGTTTTAGGGACAGGAAGAGTTCCAGGTAGAAACGACTGTTTATTTTTTATTTTTTTGTGAGGAAGATCAGCCCTATGCTAACATCTGCTAGTCCTCGTCTTTTTTTGCTGAGGAAGACTGGCCCTGGGCTAACATCCGTGCCCATCTTCCTCCACTTTGTATGGGATGCCACCACAGCATGGCTTGCCAAGCGGTGCGTCAGTGTGCGCCTGGGATTCGAACCAGTGAACCCCGGGCCACCGCAGCGGAGCGCACGCACTTAACCACTTGCACCACCAGGCTGGCCTCAGAAACGACTGTTTAGAAAAAAGACACTGAGGTGTGCAAAAACATAAAAGTTCAGGGAGCAGGAAGTAAATACTAATTATGTATGGGTGGATCATAGTGTGTAGGGGAGTGATGAATTTGGAAGGGATGAAATTGCAGTTGTCTTTCTAAACCATACCAAAGAGTCAGAATTTCATTTTATTTTTTACTGAGGAAGATTCACCCTGAGCTAACATCCTTTGCCAATCTTCCTCTTTTTTTTCTTGAGAAGGACTGGCCCTGAGCCAACATCCATGCCAATCCTCCTTTACCCTATATACAGGACACTGCCACAGCATGGCTGGTGAGTGGAGCAGGTCCACGCCTGGGATCCAAACCCGCGAACCTGGGCTGCTGAAGCGGAGTGCGCAGAACCTTAACCACTCGGCTGTGGGGCTGGGCCCCAGAATTTTATTTTGAAACCCCTGGGGAGCCTCTAAAAGATTATAGTGGAAACAGCAAAAATACCTTTGCTATATTGAGTGACTTAATTAAATTGGGTACATGGAAGGCATTTCTTATACAAGATTATTCCTTGAAAAGCACTTATTGACCTAAAACCACTACAGTGGATTATTTGTTGAAATGGTTATTTGTTTCACTGACATTTTGGCTGCTTTTGTTGCTTAAAAAAACTTTTGATGATAGATTTGTTGGAGAGGTTAACAATATTAAAGGTTATCCCCAAATCAGCTTACCCCTGTCTTTGTGTCAGGGCTTTGTTAATAAACTTGTGTAGCTAGCTTGGCCCTCAGCTCTCCCCAGAAAGCCCTTAATGTAGGGTCACTTACTGAAGTGCTGAAGTTCTTGTTCTCCTATTCATTCTACTCCCTGGATTGCTTTTCAGTTGAGGCAAAATAACATATTTAATAATGTATGTTTTGCTGATACCTGTTGTTAAATGTAGCTGTTGGTGTTACCCCTTTTTCAGATACTGTATTTTTTTGTCTCTTTATATTTCATTTGGATTATTTTTAATCTTCCATTTCTGTCCTCATGCTTTCTTTCATCCACCTTTAACACACAGAGTATATATATAACCACTGTTCTTAATTTCACTGACTGCAGATTCATCATTCTCATTTCTGGGTCTGCTCTTATTGATTGATTTTTCTCCGTATTCTGTGATATATTTTTCTGCTTCTTTGAACATCTAGTAATTTTTTATTGTGTGATAGACATTGTAGATTTTACATTGCTGCTTTCTGGATTTTCTTGTATTCCTATAACCAGTGTTGAGTTTTATTCTGGCTGGCTGTTGAGTACTTGTAATCCATTGGATGTTTTTGAGGCTTGTTTTAAATTTCGTTAGGACTTTGTAAAAGTAACCTTTAGTCTAATGTTAATTTAGTTCTGGTAAGGCTTCTGAGGATTCTTTCTGGTGAATTATGACATTTTTTTCATTCTTGTTGATGGGAAGTTGAACTGTTCCCTGACCTGTGTAAGCTTTGTGGAGAATTGTTTTCTGGTGTTTTTCCCTGGCCTTGTGTAATTTTTTCTCATGCATCAACAGATCAGTAGTCAGCCAAGACTCAGTGGGGACCCTCTGTACATTTCCAGAGCTCTTTTTTTGTGTAGCTTTTTTCTTCTTTGGTACTTTTGCCCTGCAAATTTAGACTGCTCTAAACTGAGATTTCATGTCTCCTCAACTCAGTGATTTGGACTCTGGGTTCTGTCTCCCTGTGCTGCAGCCTTGAAACTGTCTCTAGCTGGGAAGCTGGTACATTAGGACTTGCCTTCTCTTTGGGATAGCAGTGCTGTACTGCCGTATGTCCAATGCCTGAAAACTTGTTTTATGTTGTTTTCCTAGTTTTCTAGTTTCAGGTGGGAGGATGCTAAATCTAATTCCTTTGACTCCATCGTGGCTGGATGCAGGCATTCACAGCAGTTTTTATAAGAGTAGTGCCTTTATGGGCTGCAAAGTGTGAAACCGGGGGGTCATATGACTTTCATAGGTAGTATGTAATTAAACTATAAGAATGCAGTGCACTATTTAATATGTAGGTATTTGCGCAACATCTTTACATTGATACTCCTGTTGGTTTTGCCAAAGTAGTGGCCATGTTTGCTCATTTGAATTTAAATTTAGAAAGAAGATTTGCTTTATGTTTAATATGGATGAGAATTTGTTGCCTATAATTCTTATCACATTTTCTCTGCTTTTGTTTAGTGATTGTCTCTTACTTATTTTCCGTATAGTGGTTATCAATGTTTTGTACATAGTAACCACACAGATAATTTTTAATGATTTAAATGTTAAAGTGGGGAAAAGATGGCATGGGTTGGAGTCGAGAGAAAGACAGGCACTATTAGTAAGTCATTTGTGGCCTTAAAAATCATTATAAGGAGTTTTGATTTCATTCTAAATACAGTAGCTAGCCTTTCATGGGTTTTAATTTAGAAGGAACAGAAATTGATATACATTTAAAGCACATTTTGTTCTTACATTATAGAGGAGCAAAGGAGGATGTGGGAAGACCTGTTAGGAGACCTGTTAGGTGCAATAAATCAAGAGATTATAGGAGGGGGGCGTTCAAGATGACAGTGTAGGAAGACCCTGAACTCAGTTCCTCTCACAGGCATGACAAATTTACAACTACATATGGAATAATTTTCTTCTGAAAAGGACCTGGGAATTGGACAAGCAGCACTTCTACAACAAAAAATAAAAGAGATGCATTGAGAAGCGTAGGAGAGGTAGAGACTTGGTCTCACCCAGGACCCCACCCCAGGCATGGTGCTCCACAATCAGGAAGGGATCCCAAAAATATGAAACTTTCCCTCAAGGGATGAAGGGACTGTGCCACACATCAGGCACCCTGACCCTTGGGTCTGGCACCAGAAAGATGAGCTCCCAAAACGTCTGGTTTTGAAAATCGACAGGGATTAAATCTAGGGGAAATGTAGAACTCAGGGGAATGGAGAACCTGCTCTTAAAGGGCTCATGTGTACCCACTCACCCTGAGATCCAGTGGAAAAGCAACAGTTTGAAAAGTACCTAGACCATAAGTCAGGGAGATTGGCTTATTAATCCTAAAATGGCTGCCAGAGAGGTAGGAACCTACAGTGACTTTCTCCAGGAACAGAAACACTGGTGGGAGCCATTTTTGCAATCTCATTCTATCTTGCTGGTGACAGAGCTGGTGGGCACCATTTGTGGTGCCCTCCTTCAGTGGGTGTGATCTGCGC